TAACAGCACATTTACTAAGATGTAAATGAGCTGAAAGGTAAGATAAAAAATCAAGACACAGAGTTTAAATTTCTAGGCATCACATTATTTGGCTAAGAAAAGCTTGAAACAGAAGTGAAATATTAAGTAAATAAAGCAATTAGAGATGCAAGTTACCTGAAACAAACAATAAGAAAAAATACATATATTGGGTAAGAAATTAAACTCAGAATTAACAAATCAGTATTTAGAAACACGATCTAACACAGAGTGGTGAAAACAGGATGTTAGAAACAGTAAAGACAAAAACACTTAATGAAAAAGTTATGGTTAAACACAATAGGACAGAGCTAGAAGTAATTATATACGATATAGATGCAAGGTAGAAAACATCAATGACTGGGTTAAAAATACAAGGGTAGCCGAATGACAACAAATAGGGTAGTAAAGATAGCAAAAGACGGTTCCCAATAGGAAGACAATCAGTAAACAGACCACTAAAACGATAGAACGACAATTTACTAAAGGCAAATTGAAAAACAGACAGAGTTATCTCTACATAAAAAACCTTATTTTTTAGATTCACTTTTAAGAATTGTCACATTTGAGAGACTAAGCTAGATGAGGCCAAATAAAAGGTACCAAAAAAAGTTGTCAGTTTTCTTGTTATACATTAGCTTCCAACTTTCGCAGGAAGTTATATTGTTACCTACTTGTACTTACCGTTTCTGATGGGTCGCTCTATGATTACAGTACCTTTTAAACTTTGCCAAAGCATTATGTTATTACCCTGTGTTTTATCAAATTTTTCTTCTTGACTTGTACTAATTATTCTTGTTATTTGTTGTGATTGCTGTGACGACATGTTTGACGTTGATGAGAATTTGTACCTGCTACTGAGTTAATTTCACTTATTGAGAAACTATTCCAAATATTGCTTAATAAATACATTACTACACATGTTATTTAACTGTTGTGAATGTGTGTTTTGTTGTGAATTTGGTACTGATGTAATGGAAAGAAATATATTTATATACATGATTTAAGGTTATAAGTCCATATTGTTACGAACATTGCAAGAATTTGAAGCAGATATTGCTCGTATAGTGCTGTTGGCCTATCCAGAGGCACCAGACAACATTTTGGAAGAAATTGCTGTAGATGCCTTCGTCAATGGATTGAGAGACAGTGAACTACAGAAAGTTTTACGACTAGCAAGACCGAAAGTTTTAGATGAAGCGCTCGCCATTACCTTGGAAAATGAGATAGCTAGTCGAGTTTTACGGAGCTATCACGTACGAACCTCTGAAGAGAGTGACGAACGAAACGATAAACGTCTGGAGGAAATCGTACGGAAAGTAGTTCGTAACATGATGCCGAAGAGACGTGAACCCAGATGTTGGAATGGTAATAACGAAGGTCACACTCGCCACAAAGTGCAAAAAAATAATGCAACAGTCAGAAAGCTAGAACAGATCGAGCACTGGGCTGGAAAAAGTCATTCAAATGCTGATGTTCAATCAAGACGGCCATACAGTGCAAATCGTAATCATTCTCTTGAATTAGAAGAACGACTTTGCCCCGTGAGGCAAACCACCATTCTTAATGATCAATGGCAGCCTCAACAGCTACAAGACGCTCAAGCAGATGATCCATGTATAAAAAGAGTATTGGATTGGGGCGTCGAAGTGAAAGACCTTCTTGGCAAGACATTAGTGTATGTAGTCCCGAAGTCAAGTGTTACTGGAGCCAATGGAATTGCCTAGTACTAAAAGATGATCTTCTGTATAGAACCTTTGAGAACAATGATGGTACAGAATCTAAACTTCAGTTGATTGTACCTAAAAGTAAAGTGTTAGAAGTATTGCGTCAGTTGCATGACGGTGCATCAGGTGGACACTTTGGTATTACGAAGACTCTGCAAAAGGTTCGAGAACGGTTTTATTGGGTGAACTGTAAAGATGATGTAAGAAGATGGTGCCGGAAATGTGAACTGTGTGCAACTAGTAATGGTCCAGTTGGTAAAAAGAGGGCACCCACGAAACATTACAATGTTGTTAATATGGAGAGAGTAGCAATCGACATTGAAGGTCCACTTCTAGAGACGAATGATGGAAATAAATATATCCTGATAGCCATGGATTATTTTACGAAATGGACTGAGGCCTATGCGATACCAAATCAAGAAGCTGCTACAGTTGCAGAGGTACTTGTTAAAGAATTCTTCAGCCGATTTGGTGTTCTTTTGGAGATTCACTCCGACCAAGGGCAAAACTTCTGGCTAATTGGTCTTTACCAAAGCCATCTAATTAAGTAAAAAAAAAAGGGCAAAACTTTGAGTCAACCCTTTTCCAAAACGTTTGTAAATTGATTAAGGTCAATAAGACCAGAACGACACCCCTGCATCCTCAATCAGATGGAATGGTCGAGAGAATGAACCGAACGATGGGTAAACACCTGTCCAAAGTTGTATCAGAACATCAAAGAGATTGGGACCAGCACATTCATTTATTCCTAATGGGCTACCGCTCGGCCGTGAATGAAACTACAGGCCAGACTCCAACCTGCCTGATGTTAGGTCGTGAAGTTCGTTTGCCCTGCGACCTAGAGTTTGGCTGCAGACCTTCCGAAGAATATGTTGCAAGCGAAGATTATGTCGATCGCCTAAAAATAAGAATGAACAACATTCATGAACTTGCCCGACAACACATCCAGTTAGCCAGTGACAGAATGAAATATCAATACGATTCTCGACGCAAGAATGAAAGCTATGAAGTAGGTGATCTACAATGGGAGGGTCCGTATGAAATTAGAAAGAGAATATATGACGTAATAGACCGAATTAAGAAGTTGCCGAAAGGTAAACCAAAAGTATTTCACATAAATCGTCTTGCACTTTATGCTGGTTCAAATGAAACAGAAGAAGTCCGAACCCTTCAACATGAGATCAAAGATGAATGGCGACCAAGCTTTAAGGAGTTTATGTCAAATTACGCTGAGAGAAAGAGTGCTAGATTCTGCGTGACGACACAAGTTCAGCAGGATCTTTTTAGTGTTCCGCATAACGTCTCTCTAGCCCAGTGAGTTACACAAGATCTTGAGATGACTAAAGGAATCTCATCTGTATTTTATAAGAAATTCAGTCGTTTGGACGAGTTAAAAAACCAGCAGCCTAAAGTTGGAAGAGTACTGAGATTAGAAGATGGTTCTCGATCTTTGCTGTATATGGTAACCTGAAAGTCGTATACAGACCGGGCAACCTAAGAGGATATATGGTGTGCTCTAACTAATTTAAAGAAAATCGTCTGCAATTACGACATTAAGAATTTGGCCTTACCCAAGATAGGCCATGCACTAGATAATCTGGATTGGAAGATTGTCAGAAGCATGCTTAAAGTGATCTTTCGAGAAACCGGTGTAAGAATTACTGTGTGTTGCACTAATCCGAAGAGATCGTGTCCTTCAAAGACAGTAGACTGTTATTTTTTTCTGAGAGGTCCATGCAGAGCTGGAGAGTCCTGTAGATTCCGCCATCCTGGGCCTACATACAGAGTTGCTGATCGGGACGTTCAGATCTAAGAGGGGAGCAGTGTTACGAACATGCTTTCGGCATGTCACATGTAACGGTTCCATCTCTAAACCGCTTCTAGAATCATCACCAGAACTCTCGACGGCAAGAGAACAATCGGTTACGTGCGCGAATTAGAGGTGGGAGCTTTCTAGAACATAGTAACTTAGGTATATATATGTAACGATCTTAGGAGTAAGTTTAGTGGATAAGAGAATACCGAACTGTAAAGTTATAAATAAATATATTTATATAAATTCGAAACGCTCGTTTTATTTAAAAACGGTACAATATTAACTTGTTTATATAATGAGTGTGCTAATTTAGTATCTCTAGTAATACTAATTAGATTTCTTCAAATTGTGGTGGGACTTTTTTTATGTTTTAACTTATTTTATTTACTACTATAAATTTCTTTTTTTTTTCCTGTATTCTAGTTTGTTTTTACTTCCGAGATCAATGTTTACACCATCATCAGCAACTTACCTTGTTGGCTTACAGTTTTATTAACTATTGCTTTGAATTTCTTACATTCACATGCGTCTTCTTTTTTTTTTGTCATATAATGGTCTATTTAAAAATGATTGTATGATATTTGTATATGATAGGTTGACTTCTCTCGAAAGGATGTTTTACCAATCGGCATATCATATAATGTTCACCTAATTTTATAAAGTAAGTTTTTATCTTTAACTTGGTGCTTTAAGAATTTATGTTCACGTAATGGTTTATGCCTAATAACGTTCTAAATAAATAAAAGCTTTCTGGGATAAACAATTTCACTTTTGCAAGAACTATAAAGTGAAACTTCTTGAAATTTTTACAGCTAAATACATATGAAATTGTACCTATAATGCAAAATTAAAGTTTTCTGTGCATTTTTAGAAAAGTAATTACTAATTTTTAAAAAATTGACTTAGAAGTTATTTCTGCAAATATTTAAGCAACAAGTCAACAACAATAACTCTAAGAACACTCATTTTAAAGGATTTTGTTTGTCCATATAATTTGCCGGTCCTCACCTTTAGTTTTCAAAATCAAATACCGTTCAAATACAAAATCTTATGTTGTTTATATATTGTTTTTAACTAAAAACTGACGGTAATTCTTTTGCATATTGCATATTGTTATCACCAAATTAATCAAAAGCATTTGTTTAGATAGTTATATCAAAGAGTGTAGCGAAGAGGCGTTTTATTTGTCAATTTCTCTTCTATCTACTAAGTACAAATATGGAATTACTAGAACAACAATCAAGAAATAATATTGAGATTTGATAAGAAATAATAAGCAAAAAATAGGTAGAGTTAAATAAATGCATATACTATTATTCGATATCGATTTATCTGAAGTATTTTAGTGTTTTAAAATTAACATAAAATATTTACAAATAAGTAAATATTATAAAATCTATTTTATGTTTTAAATAAACATATACAAACTACATACAAACCTGCTAGTACAGCCGATAATTGGGGTAAAGTTCCTTTAAACATATTAGTGAATCCTGGAGTAACAGTCATTTTAAAAATCTTTGTTAACTCTACAAAATAAAAATAATATCTCTACAAAAAGGAGACTATCACAAAAATATATAAAATTTTTTATATTTTATAAGAAATTTACATACTACTTCATTTAAAGAGGATATTGGTATATATAACCGTAGTATAAGCAACTGATCCTCTATATTGCTTTTAAAATTTAAGCAAATATTATTTCATGCTGCAACAATATGAAAATTTACTTTGTGTATGACTTTTATTATATATATTATAATGACATGATATACAGGGTGGTCCTTAAGTAATTGTACAAAAAGAAACCGCAGATTCTACATTTTAAAATATTACGATTTAAGCCAACTTGCTTTAGTAAAATGTTATTACAAAAGATACAGGGTGTTAAAGTGGAGATTTAAAATTTTATTTTTCACTATAACTTTCATGTTTGTAAACATTTATATACAAAAATTGACATTTGGTTACTATTAATTATCGGTAATTATAATTTAATGCATACTTTAACAGTTTTTTTAGAACCAATGATGCTATTTAATATGAGACGATCTTTTATTATATGTATTGACAAATGAATTAAAGAAAATGGTGGACATATTGAACACTTACTTTAACAAAAAATTTAATGTTATTTAGTTTAACTATTTCTTAATTTGGTTTGTAAAATAAAATGTTCGTATTATGACTTTAATTTAATACAATACAAAAAAAACGTAAAATGTTTGATGTAAAATCCAATTATTCGTTTATTTTTCAAATCCTATTATTTTATCCTGCTGATATATTTATTTTATTTAATAATTTGTTAAGTATTAACTTTATTAAAGCTATTTTATACCAAAATTCAGAAGTATTGATGTTTTTCTTTAATTTTCTTTCGTTGCCTGGAGGAATTGCGATAAATCAGAATTATGTAGTTGATTTCTAAAATGCGATTATCTCGAAAACTGTTGAGTTTTGAAGATATCAATAAGTATACTTTTTGTTTGTTAATATAATTATATTTAATATTTTTTATTAAAAATACCAGTAACTTAAAGAGCAAAAAAGTTAAGTGCAAATGTATGCCACTGTGGCATATGTTGCGCCCGCTATCAGCTACGTCAAAGTGTACATCAAATTATAATTTCTTATATTTAATAGTACTTAGTTGTAAATTTCTATACATAAATGTTGACAAACATAAAAGTTATAGCAAAAAATAAAATTTTAAATTTCCACTTTAACACCCTGTATCTTTCTTAATATCAACATTTTATTAAAGTAACTTGACTTAAATTGTAATATTTTAAAGTGTAGAATCTACAGTTTCTTTTGTATAATTACTTAAGGAGCACCCTGTATATACATATATTTTTATTGCTTAGATATATTTTTAAATATTATTTAATTTAAGATTAAATGATTACAAACTTTATATCTAATTGCGTTATATTATCTATACGATGATTAGGACATTTTTATTTACATAGTTTTGAACATGATTTTTATAATAAGTTTGACAATAAAATATGCACCAATTAATTTCTATATTAAATTCCCTTCATAACGCGAAGATCTTTTGTGCAAAGCTTCATTTTCTGTAGTTCATACAACAATTTTTCATGCAAAGCTATTCTAAATCCAAACTTAAAATCACTTATGTCTATTTCACGTTTTTTATAAATTTGATTTTGTATGATCTTTTAAAATATTTTTAGTGACTCATTAAGCTAATGAACCTAAATTCATTGCATTTGTGGGAACTAGATTTCTTTGATATAGCTATGAAATATGAGTAAATTTATTCCTTTGGTATTACGTCACTTTAATAAAATATGTGTTAGTAGTTGTATGTTATTGGATAGGAATCACTTCACGCCGCCCAAATGATCCAGACCATCCCCTCCTTTTCCACATCACGCTGATCCGCTATAGGGGCTCTTTATCAGCAAAGTTCTTGTAGCGTGTGTGAGAGTCCTGGCACAGTATATTGCTAAAAGAATCAGTAGGTTCACTCTACCGCTAGTCCTTTGTTCTTCATTTTCCTTTTTTTTCTCGGCCGAAAGTGTGACTTGTGGCGACCTAAAATTTAATTAGATTTTCGGAATAATGAATACTTTCCTAAATTTAGCGTTTTCGACAATTATCGATAGTTTCCAAAATAATTATTACTATTTGTCCTTCAAAATGTTTTGTTGAATCCATCAGTTTTGATTAATCGAATATTAAATTTTTTGTATTCATTATAAAATCACGCTGTATTTACTGTTACTAGTGAGAAATCTCATAAAACGAAGAGCTGATGAGGAAACTAATTTCTATAGGTGAAAAAATAATAATACATTCAAATTATAAATTATATTTTGGGGATTTGAATTTTACAATACCAGTTATAATAAAAATAGGATTATAAAAAACACAAGTAGCAAACTATAAATAGAAATTAGAATAGAATATATATATTTATAAATATATATATATATATATATATATATATATATATATATATATATATATATGTATATGTATATGTATATATATATTATAGGGTGTCCCAGACTAATTTACCCACGCTATATCTCTTAAACGAATAGAGATTTTTGAATGGAACAAAAAGTGATCTATTCTATTTGTAATCCGCTTTAATATGAAGTAGAAAAAATCATCCCCTAAATATTCATCCCTTAGTTACAACCCCTAACTTTAATTTTTTTAATAGCTCTCTGTATATATTTTTTATAGTTTTGGATGTGGTTTTTTATCGTCTATTCAACAGATTTATTAAAAATAAAATCGGTTTGTAAATAATCAAGAAATCAATTAATTTTTGATTTTGGTTAATTAAAGGGACAAAAACTGGTCTATTCCATTTGTAATACACTTAAATATGGCGAAGAAAACATCATCCCCTAAATATTTATCTCTTAGTTACAACCCCTACCTAAAATTTTTTAATGGCACCCTGTAGATTTTTTATAGTTTTGGATGTGGTCTTCTATCGTATATTCAATCGATTTTTTAAAAATAAAATGGGTTTGTAAGGTATCAAGAAAATATCAGTTTATTTTTTATTTTTGTTAATAGTCAAGATCGCCTTAAAAAATAGAATACGTTTATTTATATACATATTATGAACACCTGTATAAAATCTGAGTTTATTTGCGGCAGAGTACAAAAACTGCATACAAAAGCTAAACTCTTCACCTTTAAAACGAATCTTGATTTTTGTCGATAGGTCACTTTAGTCAAGAAATATCGAATTTTTACCGTCGAGCTGATAAAAATTTTATTGAACATTGATTTTGCGCTCGCAACTGACATGAAAAATTAACGATCGCTTCAGGCGTTTTTCCAAGAGAATGGCTCATTCCACACAAAAAATGTTTATAATTTATTTTTATTATGTCAGCTACATTTTTTATTTCAAACATTTTTTTCTACGGTGTACAGATTCTGTGTAAATCGATTTTTTTGCATTTTTACCCTCCTGCGGGGGGGTTTTAAGGGAAAGCCCGGGGTTAAAAGTGGCAAACTTTTCTGCATCTTTTTTAGGGTCAAAAAATTACTATTCTGGGCAAAATTCAGCTTGTTCGTATGATTTTTCGACGTTTAGTGACATTGTCGTCTATGGCGACTGGAGTACTTTCGGTTATACCGAAAGTGAACGGCAACTTTATTATTATAATTGGAAGATCATGTATACTATTTAATTTTAAAATTCTATAATAAGATTATAAAAAAAGTATTATAAATCAAAACTCTACATTTTTGGAGTTATTCGCTGCTATTTAGTTATTTCTAGGCTTGATATATTTATTAATTTTAGTTTTTTTACTTTTTCATGTCAGTGAGTTATCGACAGCAATGTTTGACTCTTATTTCACTATACAAATAACTTTTGGATTATATCAAAAATAACACTTTCATTAGTTTGACATTTTGTTTCAAATAAGGTAATACTTATTTGTGCACACTTGAAAATGTTTTAGTATAATATTAATTTGTAACCAAAATATATTGAAATAAAAGTATTCGTGTTTATTTTTTTATATTAGTAATCTCATTAAATGTTCTATAATAAATTGATGGAAGTAAACAGTGATACTGAATTTAGATATTTTTAAAATATATATCAATATTAATAACGAGCTTCTTATCTGTCTTCTGATACAGCAACCGGTGTTAAGGGATAAAACTTTAAAACAGTACAAGAACCGAAATAAGGTTGATTTTCAACCCTATTAACCGGTTTCCTTTTCTTTCATTAATCATACTAGATAACACTTCACAGCATGACTGCGGCAAAAATGGAATAATGTATAACTGCTACATTTTTTTACGACACGATTACTGCACAACAACGACAAAAATCCTCCATCTGAAAGAAGCGTTATAGACCGGAGCCTGTCCGAAGACTGGTTTTAAAACTTCTTCTTCTTGTTTAAATTATCGCACCATCTTTTTCTTGGTCTGCCAATACTTCTTCATCAATTTGGTGACCTATTTCGTGCTATTGGTACTATTCTATCCTCTGCCATTCTACTGATGTGTTTGTTCCACTCCTGTTTTCGTTTTGTCACCCATCCATTTATGTCTTCTATATTTCATGCTCTTCTTACGTTTTCGCTTCTCTCCATATCCAACAGACTTCTTCCTGATATTCGTCGGAGTATTTTCATTTCTGTTGTTTCTAGCTGTCGTCTCGTTTTAGATGTGTCAGGTCTTATCTCCGCCGTGTATGGGTATAATTGCTGCTTTATATGTTCTTGTTTTTGTGTCTTGTCTTAGGTGTTTGTTCCTCGAGATTGTGTCATTAAGAGAACCCGCCGCTTTACTGGCTTCTAAGCTTTGGTGTCGTGCTTCTTCTTCCACATCTACGTAACTAGTTATATCTATTCCTAGATATCTAGCTGTTGTATTGAAGATATGTGTTAATCTTTGGAGCTCGTCTTCTGTCTCGGCGATTAATGCGGCGTCGTCTGCATAACATAATATTTGGATTTCTTTGTTTTACTTACTGTTTGTATTATTTCGTCCATTATTATATTAAAGAGAAGTGGGCTCAACGAGTTACCCTGTCTGACTGCGCTTTGTACATGTATA